ACAGGCCATGCTGCACTGCCTGCCTCCAGGCTGAATGCTCAGATGTCAAGTTTTCCCATTTCTTGAGGTCCATTCTTAAGGCCTTCAGACCCCGCTTACAGATATCCTTGTATTGCAGCTGTGGTCTCCCGCTGGGGTGCTTTCTCTGCACTAATTCTCCATACAGGAGATCTTTTGGAATCCGACCATCAGCCATTCTCATGACATGCCCAAGCCAATGCAGATGTCGCTGTTTCAGTAACGTATACATACTAAAAATTCCAGCTCGTTCTAGGACTACTCTATTTGGAACTTTGTCCTACCAGGTGATACCAAAAATGCATTGGAGACAACGCAAATGGAACGTGTTCAGCTTCCTCTCCTGCCATGCACAAAGAGTCCAGGACTCACTGCAGGATGATGAGTGAATAGGCGTTATGTATTGCAAGGCAGTGGTGCATGGTGAAGATGGGCCCTTTTAAGGAGAAAGAGTATAGTAGGTAGGTAGGTAGGTAGGTAGGTAGGTAGGTAGGTAGGTAGGAAGGTAGGAAGGTAGGAAGGTAGGAAGGAAGGAAGGAAGGAAGGACATTTAGAAACATGACAAAGCAACCCTTGAAGGAGAGCACAAGGCAGCCCAAAGAAGATAAGAAAGAAAGAAAGAAAGAAAGAAAGGCTGGCCACTGCTAGTCGATTTCTTGGAAGGCTGTACCATAGTCTGCTTGGTATGTACTACTTCCGGTCTGTAAGGTGACAACTGCCCTTGCAGGTTTTATTCAGTCCTGCCTCTGTCCCTTTAAAAAACTACCAGCAAGTAAACTGTCCCTAGGATGGTAAATGAATCTTCCCATAACAGCATATGTGTTATCCATAAAGAGGTCAAAGGCAGACAGAAATTTTATTATGGGAAGAAATAAAACCCATCTGTTTTAAAATGTGAAAATATGCTGTAATGTGGAAGAGTAAATTCTACCATGATGGGCACACTGGGAGAGAGGCAGGAGCTGATGGACTCATGGGAGGCCAATCTTACTACTGTCTATGGGAAAACAAAAGATAATGGCTGAACATGATCTCGCTGCAAAGAATGATGGAGGCACCTGTAATGACTACTCACAAGATGGCAGAGGCAAAGCAGAAGAATTACTTATGAGCAGGGAAAGGAAAACTGGAAGTGGGAATAGTGTGAGGGCTGCTGATAAAAGGAAGAAGGGGAAGAAGCTAAAGACCACTTTGCTGTACCCCTGCCCGGAACCTCATGGGTAAGGTAATAGCTTAATGACAGAGCATATGCTTAGCATGTAGACGTTCCCACTAAGCTTCTGTCCTGTTGCACGGGAGCTTTGCTCTGTGTGCATGGGGATGGACAGGGCTTCATTCGAAATGGGAAGTCAACAAACCTGCTGCCAGCTGCCTGTGCGCAACCCTGACAGAGCTCTTGGTAAAGCATGCATGCGCGCAGCTTACAGGGAACATTGTAGGAAGTCCCAAGTTCTATCTTGGCGTCTCTGATTAAAAGGATCAGGTAAGAGATAGTGGGGAAGACACCTCTCCAGGAGTCCGGAGAACCACCAACAGATTTGGAAATGCTAAGCTAGGTGGAACCTCTTTGGCACCTCTTGCTCCAGTTATAAGTCACCTATAGCTAGAAGGAAATATGGCATAAAGAAAGCTGATTGTCAAAGAATTGATGCTTTTGAATTGTGGTGCTGGAGGAGGCTCTTGAAAGTCCCCTGGACTGAAAGGAGAACAAACCTATCTGTTCTGAAGGAAATCAACCCTGAGTGCTCACTGGAAGGACAGATCCTGAAGCTGAGGCTCCAATACTTTGGTCATCTCATGAGAAGAGAAGACTCCCTAGAAAAGACCCTGATGCTGGGAATATGAAGGCAAGAGGAGAAGGGGACGACAGAGGATGAGATGGCTGGACAGTGTCATTGAAGCAACCAACATGAGTATTTGACCAAACCCCAGGAGGCAGTGGAAGACAGGAGGGCCTAGCATGGTCTGGTCCATGGGGTCACGAAGAGTACACGACTAAACAACTAAACAACAACATGGCTAGAAGGACACGTAATCTGACCTGGTACAAAAGCCTTTCTACTGTTTGACTATCGGAAGAAAAGATTTAAAAAAGCCCTACCTCTGCAGTTATAGAGAGCAATCATGAGAACCAAAAAAGCACATCTTTAGCTTCTAGTTCCTCACAAAATATATGGAAGGCATTTTTAAAAATATGCCTGTTTATTGACCCTCCTCCTCTTCTTCAACAACTGGTGATACCTTCGTTTGGAAACAACCACATCATATGGTTTCTCCCACGTGTTATTTCTATTACATATATTACCGGAGTAGTGTGTGAAAAGGAGCTTTGGATGCAATAACAATGCTGCTCAAATAACGTATGAATAGGATCAACAGTGTAAGTATCAAACGGGATGAATTATTTACTACATGGGTTTTTTTTTAAAAAAAGCGATTCCTTAAGTGCTGAAAGCTGTCATTTAGTCTTAGCATTTCACTCAGTTTGTCTCTCAGTTCTGTAACTTTTCTCCTAACAAGCTTGACCTGAAGATTGGTTCTTGGATGGCAAACACTAGCTTAATTTGCAAGTCTGATTGGTCAGGCTCATGTCTCTCAAGAAATTCACACTGTGGGATAGATGACAAGGAGATGAGTTTCTAAATGCATCAAGAATGTTTTGTGGGCAGCATTTTCTGAAACTATAGAGGGATGGAGTGTGATGTTTCTGAGTAGTTAGCCTGGCCATAGGCAAAACTCCAATGGATGTTAGAATAAACATTCTCACTCAGAATCTTGAATTTCTGATGGATGTGGAAGTCAGCACAGAAAATGCACATTTGGTGGAGAGAAGGGTTTGGATTTCAAGCGCTATTAAGCATCAAAAGAGATGACATATGAAAATGGACCCAGCTCAGGGACAGCTCAACATACTTGGACTTTCATTTATATGCTTGATCATCTAAGAAATGTGGCCGTCCAGCTATAATTGTATTTCTTTCTGAAAGTACATGTTGAATCCAATGAGCAATTTTCTCTGAGAAACATTTCTCTTGCATTAATAGCTAAAGACCGATCAAGTACTACAGTGGGTTTTGAAGTTTTATCCCTTTACAATTTTCAGCAGAACAAATCACTTAGAAATTTCAGATTTCATTAATTAAATATGTGAGCAAGGACAACTGCACAATGGCTGAGGTTTAATGTAAGTCATACATCTCCTTCAGATTAAGGACAAAACATAAGTAGTTCTCTCATTTTTCTCCATCGAATACTGAGTGAAAAATGGAACATGTTAAGGCAACAGATTTAATAAATAGTTCTGGAATGAGAAATGTATTCCTCCCCTGTAAACCTATCAAAGAGCTTAAAAACACAAAGATTTCCACAATCGTTAAGCAAGTGTAGGATACAGAGTGCTGTCCTCTGAAGATGCCGGCAACAGAGACTGGCGAAACATTAGGAAGAACAACCTTCAGAACACAGCCAAAGAGCCCGAAAAACCCACAACAACCAGTAGGATACAGTTCTTTCCACAATTTGTGTTTGATTCCTAAATCATATCTAATCAGTATGAAGGCTCAGGTTCAAGGTGCTGTCCTTCCCTATAATGGCTCAATTCCTCTTGCTTAGTGTAATAAATCACACTAGAGTAGGCCCACTAAATCAATGGAGATATGGTGAGTTAAACTCCTCTGAAAGTTCTATTGATTTACATGGGCCCACTGTAACACCAACTTATTTTAATACAGTAAGTCACAGTTAGAGGTGTTGTTGTTGTTGTTGTTGTTGCTGCTGCTGCTGCTGCTGCTGCTGTTTAATTGTTAAGTCTGTCTGACCCCATGGACCAGAGCACGCCAGGCCCTCCAGTCTTCCACTGCCTCCCATAGTTGGGTCAAAACAGTTAGAGTAGGCCCACTTAAACCAACGTTACTTACATTGATTCACCACATCCCTATTGATTCAATGGGCCTACTTTAGTGAAATTTACTACACAAAGCTACAGAATTTGGGCCGTTGAAACTGGATCAATAGTAGTGGATAATATGTATCCTTTGCTTGCAGAGTCACACAATTTGGACACATGCACAACTCAGGAATACATTCCTGTCCTGCTCTTTTTTGTGGCAAACCCCGTCTCCCCATAATTGCATAATAATAAAGAGCAGGGGCCATATTTGCAACTGAATAGCAGCAAATGATGCTTGTAAGCTTGGCCAATATAAAAGCCAGACATATTGCCATTTTCACATGAAATTTCAGAAGAAGAGACAGGACAGGACAGAAGGAGGAAAGTTATGGCAGATAATTTTCAGAATTATAACAATGTTAAAACTAATATAATGGTGAAGGTAAAAGTTCTCCTTGACATTTAGTCCAGTCATATCCGACTCTAGGGCGCGGTGCTCATCCCCGTTTCCAAGCCCTAGAGCCAGCGTTTGTCCGAAGAGCTCACTCCGTCGCGTGGATTCGATCTTACGACGGCTGGTCTTCTGATCTTGCAGCACAGAGGCTTCTGCGGTTTAACCCGCAGCACTACCATGTCCCTTAACATAATGATACCTCTGCATATCAAGTAAGTGCCACCCCAAAACACAAATATTCACTTTTGAGGAACAAGAAACCTAATTCAGACATTATGCTTGAAACTGTCCCAGTGAGTGATGGAGATGTATGTAATCCCCACTCCCATATCCCCACCCTGCCTGGAAGCCAACACCACCTTGACATGTTTAATACAAAGAGTGAGCAAAAGAGCCTGTAAATGCATTCAGCTGAGTGTGTCTATAATGCTCCTGAGTTCAGACTCTCGCGCTGACTTTCTGGTGCAAACACAGAGAGTGGGGTTTGCCAGTCTCTGCCAGTCATTTTGCCCATCGATAATTTCAGGCACAATGCCTGAATATCCATGCTGTTATGGTCAGGTAACACCCACTTGGAATTGCTGATGTCATAATGACATTCCAATGAACAAGCTGGTTTATCGTTGCCATAGAGATTGGCAACAGAACTAGTAAAGATCATAATGGTGTTAGGAGACTTAAAAAGTACTTGTACTGTTGAAGCCAGGCACTGGCCAGGAGGTAGTGTATTTCTGAGGATCAGCATTAGATCTGGTTATCTTTTTCTACTCCTTTTATCTGGGTTGGGAGAACATGAGCAAAGAGAAGATTACAACTGATGGAAGTGTTATTGAAGAAGATGCAGATGCTGGTGGACAAGAGGATTCTGTTGGGTGCCTACAGCTCTCAACCTTGTGTTGCTGCATCCCTAGAAGGTAATGGTTGTTCTTCTATACAGTGAAAGGTTTGGTCCACAAATTGTAGAATGTGCAAATGTGCTGGCTGCAGCATAGATCACTGCACTGTGTGCCCCTTGCTTGAAAACTGTATTCCTCCAGCTGCCTGAAAGCCCCACACCAACCATTTGGGGAAATCTGCAGAATGGATAACATGTTGTACAGAGAAAGGAGGGGAATTCTCTAAACTTGGGCAGGGGATTTTCTGGGACTGGAACGGAATACCTTCTTGTCCATGAAAAGAGATGCTAGATCCAAGTTCAGAGATGCCTCTCATGAAATAATACAGTCAAGGAATACTTGAAGTGGAGAAGAATAAATCTATCGGTGTGATTCCATCCAGTTTGTCAAATGTCAGAAAGCTGTACTTAGGCATATGCATTGTGGTCACAGCTGGCTGGATAGCTCAGTGGTTTAGACATCTGGCTGTGGAGATAGAGGTTGCAAGTTCAATTCCCCACTGAACCTCCTGGGGGAAGATCCAGCCTGTGTAGTCATGAGCAAGCTGACTTGACAGCACATCATCATCATCATCATCATTACCATCACCATCACCATCACCATCAGTATTATTAGTATTAGTATTAGTACTAGTATTAGTATTAGTAGTATTATTAGTATTATTAGTATTATTATTAGTAGTAGTAGAATTATTAGAATTATTAGTATTATTAGTATTAGTATTAGTAGTATTAGTAGTAGTAGTAGTAGCAGTAGCAGTAGTAGTAGAGTCACAGCAGGATTGTTAAGGCACTAGGATGGAGGGGCAAGGAAAGGTGGACATTATTTTAAACATTTGGCTTTATTGTTCCAAATTCCTAATTCATGCTTTCATATTTCTGTAGGCGGATGCGCTTGCCAGGGAGGAAACCCAAGGACAGAAAGAAAAAAAATGAGAAAAAGAAGAATGCCGGTGACGCATCATTCAGTGACGCTATGTCTGACGAAAGAAAGCAGAACATGGGCCAGGATCACCGGAGCGTGACCTCCGCAGGTGACTCGGGTGGTATGCAAACAGAAGGCATCAAGCCAGCTTTAACAGTGTGCATCCAGATCAGTGACAGAACAACTGCAGATTTCCTTATACCTGTTACTTTGGGTGATATCTATTCAGAAGGACGAAAAGAAAAAAGTGTTGAACAAACAAGTGGAAATACTTTATGTACACAAAACAAAATACAACAGAAAATAGAGGAGCCAGAGAGTGTACTGTTTTTAGAACCAGAAAAGGAAAGCATAGAGGGTGCTGTATCAGAGGGGGTGCTCCTTGAGGAGGGAAAGGGCCACCTAGTTACAACAACCACAGAAAACAGACAATGTGGAAGACGTGAACTACCAAGTGCATTGCTTCAAGGAACAACCTACAAAAAGGAGCCAGAAGGAACAGAAGACAGTGTGATTTTTAAATTGGAAGACGCTCCCTCTGAGCAGATGAAGGAGGATCAGCTAGATGTGCTTTTTCAGGAGCTACAACAATCCAGAGAGCTAGCACTCAGCAGCACATTGGCTGCTAATGAAAATAAACTGGATAAGGAACATAATCCGAGTACTAATTCTGAAGGTGAAAACTCGTTGCAGGACCATGAACTTGTTCTGGATCTTTCTTGTAAAGTAGACAGACAAATCACCCAGAACCAAATGATGTCTGTATATAAAGGAGATCCTCAAAGCAAAAATGAGGAATACCAAGACATATCCAATGAGAAGATGAAGCCATCTACAGAACCAGAATGCCCAGACATTATTTCCACTATATGTGAAAATAATGAATGGCAAGAACAGCAGAATCTAGACTTTGCAACAGAAGCTTCCTCCAACAAAGTAGAACATGGCTACTCAAATTTGCTTGAACAGAAAGACCAATCGCCTGTCATACCAAATGTTGCTAACTTTTCGTTCCAGGCTACAACTCATGAGAAGATACAGGAAGAAGTACAAATCATTAAAAGCTCCTCATCAGATACATGTCTCAGCAAATCAGAAGACCATCAGTGTAGACCCCACCAGGAGGATCAACAAGATGCTACATCAAACAATATGTCTGTGTTGCCTGCGGATGTGACTTGCACAATAGATCTGCAAAATCTAGCTCATACAAACCCTTTGCTTGAGGATGTTGCTATCCACATTACAGACCAGAACCACACAGAGACTCAGCAACTATTTTTACTGGAACAAACTAGTAGATGCTGTTCTAGTGGAAGTGATGAACATGAGACCCAAGCTCCTATTGTAACAGAAGACATTAACATATGTTTTGACAATATAAGCCATGAGAAAGAGCAGCAAAGAAAATTAGAATGTGGGGATTCAGAGCCTGAGGGCATTTACGACAAGAAGGATCAGGATCACCAGGGTACTGGTTACTTGAAAATGCAACAACTTGCAGTGTTTGCAGAACCTTTGAAAACAATCCCTGGAGAAGATCAGTGTGTAAGGAAGGAAGACATGAACCCTGGCCAGACCGAAATTCATCTTCCAGATGAAGAGTCAACAGAGCCCAATGACCAATACAACCTGCCTATATTTACATCTTCTAAAGAGGAAGCAACAACACAGCAACAGCAAAGGCAACAGCTCATTACGTCCACACAAGAAGGATGGAACAAAGAAGAGGACCAGCCAGAGTCACGGCTCATCCAAAAGGATGCATCTCTACCATACGAGGAACAACAGAAAAGGGCAGAAATGAACCTGGGTGTGACCTGTGAGGCACATCAGAAGGAAACACAGGGTCTGTCAGACATCATATTCCTTTGTAATGCTAGGAAGGAGGAGGAAGACTATGTGTAAAATAAACACTCCATTCATTCTGGAAAAACCTTTACTACTTTCACTGTCTCAGAAATTATTTTGACTGAAATATGAAAGCTAAAAATAGATTTTAAAAATTTTTTTGCATTAAAATACAGTAAATATGTATACAAAGACAAGTAGTAAAATTGGAAAGAATTGCTGCATCATGACTATTTATGGCACCCATTTGTTTTAGAGCATAGACTGCTATAACATTACAAAGAAATGAAATATAAAGAAGTTATAGGATGCAGAAGAACATCCTATTAGGCCAAAAAAAAGGAAAGTAAAAAATAAAGAACACAAAAACATTATAGCTCCTTAAAGTTTAACTTTTAGCCTTTTGTTACTGCCCATGGAGTTTTCTTGGCAAAGATACTGGAGTGGCTTGCCTGTCCCTGCTCCAGGTGGATCGCATTTTATTTATTTATTTATTATTGGATTTTTATCCTGCCCTTCTAGACAAGAGTCTACTCAGGGCAGCTCACAACATATTGTACACAAACAGATAAAAACAACAATTAAAACCTACAATAATAATATGATCAAGATGGGAGAATAAACAACAAAAAACAAGAAAAGTAAAATCAAGTATTTAGTTTAGCCAGAACTCTCCACTATGACCTGTCCATCTTGGGTATCCCTGCACGGCATAGCCCATAACTTCTCTGAATTACTCAAGCCCCTTCGCCACGACAAGGCAGCAATCCGTGAAGGGGGTTAACCCTGTGTGCATCCTGGAAGGAATATGAATACTGTACAAATATCCCTGAACAGATGGAAATAACAAGGCTTAACAAGAAAATAACAAGGGTCCACTCATGATTTTGCCGTCAGTGGCGGCTCCGCGGAAGCTTCCTATTGCATTGTTCTCCGCAATGGATTAGCCACTCTCCGGGCTAATCTGGGAGAGAGGCTTGTCATCCCGCCTCCTTGCCAGGACTGGGTAATGGATTGTGGACAAAAGCGTGATAAAAAGTTCCGATGAGCTCAGATCAGGACCGAAATCGTGAGTGGATAGTCATGAGTGGACAGCCGGACCTTTGTTATTTCCACCTGTGCAGGGGTCTTTGTATTCGTATATGAATATCCCCATCTCTATTCAAGAGTATGAACATAAAACCCACAAAATACAAAAATAAAATCCATACCATGATAGCTGAGGCTCAAAATCAAGGGTGAACATCCAGGATTTGACTTGACACTGAAATGAGGCCAATGACTGCACCAGTCAGGTCTCCCAGGAGAGGACATTGGTAAGTTAGAGTGCTATAGCCAAAGAGGCCCTTTTCTGTATCTCCCCACATGATCCAGCATTCACACAAATGGCACAAGGGCTCCTTCTGCAGATCCTAGCAACTGGGAAGGTAAGTATAGGGGCCACAGGTCTGTGGTATACCACAATTTCAAAGCATTTAGACCTTTGGGAGTGATCGTGAACACCTTGATCAAAGACTGAAGTGTCCAAGCAGCCTTGCTCCGCCTTACCCTGTGGCTGAGGACACATTAAGCTATGCCAAGCAAACAGCATGAGAAAGATGTAAGTGGTGAATATGAGGAGGCCTATTCAAGGAACAGAGGTGCAGGACTTTGGAATTAACACTTGGGGTTGGTATGGAAACTAAGAGGAAGCATCAGGAGGCCAATTATAATGGTTTCCTGGGAACTGCCTCTGTTTTGGGGATGCTCATATCTCTTGCACACCCTTTTCCCCCTCAAAAAAAGAAAAAATCCTTAAACAAATGGTGTGGAAAGTGACAGGACCAACATTATATCTAAACTTCTTCATTTGGTGACACCATTGGCATGATCATCAGCATTCAGGAGCAGATACTGCATTTGTATACTGTACATGTCCAGAGCATTCCCTGGAATAAAGATAGAATAAAACATCCAAAGCAGAACACAAGTCTGTGAGGCCCCTGGACCCATGTGGAGCATAGGCTTTGTCTCAGTGTGTGAATAAGTGGAATGGCAACCACAATACATTGACAGAGCCATTAGTAAAGATCACATATATCCAGTGTATTTGAGATGTATGGAAAAAATTGAGCATACCCTGCCTATTAGTCATGCCTCCACAGGAGAGCTGTTCTCATATCCTGGGATGTTTCACACATTTAGCTCCCATTTGTTTTCTCCATATGATTGTTATGAAAACACTGATTACCAGTGTGATCTCTGTTATTGCCTGGCTCACATTTATTATTCTAAGGACAAAAGAACTGCACAGTTGAAGCAAGGTCCTTAGGTCTGTAGGAGATGATGAAGGAATAGAGAAAGAGAAAAAAGAAGGGCCTCTTCAAGTTTCCTAGACTTTCTAGGATTGTATGTTACCTGCTTTGACCTGTGTTGACAGGGCTTCAACGTACACTGATATTTCTAAGGTTGCTGATGCCAGTTCTTTCCTTCAAAAATAAAGATGTCTTTTTTCCCTTAGAGGTGAAGGAGAAGCCATGGGTCCTGGTATCTCCACCTCAAGTAGAATCATAGAATAATGGAGTTGGAAGGGGCCTATAAGGCCATCGAGTATAACCCCCTGCTCGATGCAGGCGGTTGTCTAAATTTCTCTTGAATGCCTCCAGGGTTGGAATGCTCACTGCTTCCTGAGGTAATGGGGTCCATTGTTGTACTACTCTAACAGTTAATATGTTTTTCTTGGTTTTCAGCCTAAATCTCACTTCCTGTAGGTTGAGCCCATTATTACACATACAGCAAGGATTCCTATTCATTTTCCAATCTCTTATAAGTACTAGCTTTCTTAAGTTCCTAGAATAAGTCATGGGATGTGGTTTCTTTCCATTGGGGACGTCTATTCTGCTAACCATCCCATTTTTTTTTTTTAGGGGCTGAATATAGAGATTAACTTAGTTGCTGCTCTGCTAGTAAGGTCCTAGTTTGGTCACCAAAAATAATTATAATTAAGTAGATATAATTAAAACAAGTCAGATTTGTTAAGAGTTTTGAAAAGAACAGCGGTGAATGCCAAGTACTGTATATTAATAACTATTTATGAACTATAGCTGTTCATGAATAGATTTTTATCTATCCCATACCTTATCCTGCAGACAAGTTACAAGCTCAAAACATCTTCCTCTTTTATTGCAGCTTATTTGTGCAAACAACAGAATTTATCTGACTTTATTTCAGACTTGCACCTGTCAGGTATTTGGCTACAGGTTTATTTCATTCATTTGATTTCTGGGCATAAGATTTTTTGCTCCCTGATATTTGTCAAGCAATAATGACACTTTACAAATCTCATATAATGTGTCTATGATGGCTATTCCCTGCAACAGCAGCCAAGGAGCTCCTTTGGGGCCAGTTAAAAAGTTTGCCAAAAATAAAATTCAAATATCCTTTGAACCCAAACAAGATAAAAAGGAGATCAGTGCCAACAGTGTCAATGCCACCACTTCCAAAACATATGCTCCAATAAAACATGAAAGCTTTGGGGGCCTGTATTTTGCAAGCATGAGTGGCTTATGCTTCCTTCCCTTCTCCCTTCCATGATCTATTATTAAAATGCATTGCCTGAATTTGCTTACTAAATGGCATGCTACACATTCTCAATGATCTCTAAGCCATTTAGAAGAACATTAGTGTCTTCAAACATCTTATTAGAGAAGATGGATTTCTTCACCCAAGATAGTAATTTTGTACCTTCCCCCCCCCTTGTGTAACACCAAATATAAGGCTATACAACAGAAAGCTTTTGGCATTCTACTGCAATAGTGAAACAAATGGGAAATTGAGGTAGAAAGCCAGAAAACATACAGAGCTGAACGAACCAAGGCTATCCCCTTCCCCCATTCCCTCTGGCTGAGAGCCACTGCTCAGTGTTCAGAGCTTTTAACATAGCTCAGTAAGGGGGAATCATAACCTGCAAAGACTTGGGACTGGCTGAAGGTTTTTGCTGTATTTTGATTTTCAGGAGTCATGTCTCTGCATCAGAGAACAAAGGGGGGGGTAGCCAGGAAATAGAACAAGGGTGGATGTGCATAAGTCCTAAGTTTGTAATGGAGTTTTTAAAAAATCTACCACTGTTTCAGATATCCTAGCCTCACTATACCTTCCACGAGCATAATTTCTCTTTGCACATGGATATTACTCCAAAGAAGCATTCTGAAACATGAATCAATGACTAGAGGTAACCCACAGCCCAAGCAAAACGGAGCACCTTATCCACAAATAATGGGGTAAGCTGCCCCACCTTAGATTCAAGTGACTACACCATTTATCATATACTTCATCAATAAGTTTCATACTAAGTCGATATACTGTACTTGATGCCTATTCTGGATTTCCTTTCCCTTGCAAAACCCAGAGAACCTACTACCAATCATCACATCCAGAAACATGCATGAAGCTGCACCTGTTTGTCATTGTTGTGCCACTCTAGGGAGAGGAAAACATTGATTAAGCACACAGACATGCGGGCCCTTATGTTTCTTAGTCTTGCAAATAACCCCTCCAGTGTCCCCTTGACTAAAGAACTATACTCAAGTTATATTCTTAGTCTCATCTTCTTCATTCATCATCATAAGTACCAGATTTAAAATTCAAACACAGACACGTTGAGTTTGAAAGAAGCCTGAGTAGTGATGAGAAGCTGCCTCACTTGAATCAGACAATAACTTGTCTAGGTCATCACTGTCTGCACCGACAGGTATGGACTTTCCAGGATCTTAGACAGGATTCTTTCCCAGTGCAGATGCCACAGTCTAAACCTAGGATGTTCTCCGTGAAAAGAATCGTAGAGGGCACTACCACTGGCCAAGAGTCCAATCTGAAGATCCTTTTTTACTTCATCAGTTTTGTCCTCCCCATTCTTATGCTGATCGTTGAACTGTACAGGTATAAAGCTACCTGTTTTGCACTAAATGCCTCAGTCAATCACACCACATGCTATTTTTCCAGAATTCCAGTTAAACAGCAATTGTAATTTTCTCACATTTGATGCTTATCTCAAAAATTATGAAATAAAGAAGATGCAAGTCCCTCCATTCCTTTATGGTCTGCACACACAAAAAATATACACTATATCCTGTGCTGAACTTCTATCTATTCACACATTAACTCCATGTTATTGACACCCATTTAATCCACATCTTTTCCCAGATCTCCGTGGCACAAACAGACCATACAATTCATATTCCTTCCTAAGAAACCACTTTCTCCCATTCTCCCTCTCCAACCCTAGGGAACCAGGCTTTTGACAATGAGTGTTTGATTAATCACAGTTGTATTGAAAGAGGCAAAAGAACAGTTAGCTCTTTCAAAATGTTGGTTGTTCTTAAGCTGCAAAAGAGATT